CACCGCTCCATGCTTCCCAGAGATAAAGCTTTTAAGAGTCTGCAGAGGGGAATGCTAACACGCTCACGGCTGTCGTTTGACAGAAGATCGACTCAGCCCGAGTGCGCTCAGTCAAGCCTCCTGCCTGGGCTCGTGCTGTGAATGCCTTGCCCACTGTCACAGAGTGTCACGCCCTCTGCCGCCAGAGGGCGCTCCTATTCTGTCCTGTCCCTAGTTTCCTGCTTTGCTGTCCTTCCAGTCTCTCTCTTTCCCTGGGCTATATATTTCCGGGTCACTCATTCCTCTTTGCTCAGCATTGAGGTTCGGATGTCCTGAAACCTGCATAGCACCAGGTCGCCCCATGTCCGCTACCTGAGGGCATAGGTTTCTATACGGCATTTTTCTGAACAGCTGAGCCTGGGCTAACCCCAGTCATGCCGCTACGCATAGGGCCTTTTTTGCTCTCCTGCCATTCCACGGTTCATCCTTTCCGACATCCGCGACACAGAGGCCCTCTCCCCCCCCGCCGCCCACACCTGCCTGCCTTGTCAAGTATCCCAGAATGCACTGCGGCGAATGCAGAGTGACGGGGTCAGTCTTAACCCGGGGCGGGGCTTGACACATGGAGAAAGATCAGAGCGGGAGCCTGGCTGAGGTGTCCTTCTGCTGAGCGGGTGGACTGCTGGGATTGAAGTGAGCCAATATGTTGGAGACCCCGTGTTTCGTACAGCTGTGAAAGCCCGCGACGCCAGCCCAGATCCCTCCGCGGTCCACACAGGGGCAGGGAGCTCAGGGCAGTGCCGCAGCCCCAGACCTGGCAGTGAGCGCCGGGGGCATTGGCACTTCAAACATCAGGAGACAAGAGCGACAGCGACGGCGACCAGGAGCCCGAGAGCCGCGGCCCCTCCCTGAGCCAACGGCCGCCAGGCTGCTGCATCGCTCCGTCGGGGCGGGAGATCCCTAACTCTGTCCTTGGAGGAGGAGGGACGAAGGAAGACAAACCGCTGGCCTTCTCCTTCCCCTGGCCCACAGGGAGGAAGCTCTCTGTACTGCAGGCCAAAGGTGCTGTGTGCAAGGCGGCTCGTTAGGGCACCAATTAAACACAGCGGAGAGCTCTTGCAGGGCTCTCTAAAAATTTCTCCTGGAGTTTCGCAGGCTGAGTTCCAAGCCCTCTCTCACTAGGAAAGCTTCACGGAGGTCACTGGTCAGATACCGCAGATAAACAGAAGTCTGTCTCCGTGCGGTGAATTCCTCCACACTGTCAGCTGGAGTCTCTGGAAGCACACGGGTGCCTTCACTTCAGCTTCACTGCTCATGCTCTCGTTTCTAGATCCGGCTTGGTTTCCTCACTGGTTCCCCAGCTGCAGGCATGGGCCCTACAATACCTGCCCGTGCATTTACGGCGAATTCCTCAGACTTACTCAAACTATTTCATCCTCTGACTTTCTGCCATTAGACGTTTCTGATTTTTTTTTTAACAAAATCACAAGATTGGTCCACATGGACCACTATACCCGGAAGGTTGCAGGTTCCAGTCCAGGCTGTAGTGTCTACTTTGATGTTGTGAGGTTGCAAATGATGTTGGGCAATGTCCTGTTCCAAAAAAGGAAAACTCTGCTTGGTGCATAGTGATACTGTAGGTCTCAATCAGGTTAAGTTTGGTGCTTTAAGTGTGATATAATTGCATAACCATGAATTCAAAACATACAGGATGTACAAGTGAAAAAACAGCAAACAAATAACAATTAAAATGAAGAAAGCACAATCCTTACACACTGTGCACTTATACATTTTGCAATTTTTCCACGAGGTCATGTGGGACAGAATCAGAAGCCAGGAGAAATAAGCAATTTAACCAAATTGCAGAAAAGTCAGAATCTCCTTGTCATTTCATTGATTTTGCAGAGCTGCAATGGCCAATGGAGAAGTCTCCTCCCACCGGCTCATCTTCTTCTTGAAGCACCCTGATCACCAGGGGGTCTTCAGCTGGCATTAAGGGCAAGACAGGCCCACCAGTCTTTTCAAGTGACACCCAGTCTGAGTCCCTGATAGGCTCTGCTGTTGAGCACCGATCTGTGTGATGCACTGGAGCTCTGAATCACTCACAAGAGCGCTGATCCAAGCAGGAACTCAGTTGCACAATTACCACCACACAAAGTCCCGGAGGACAACAAGAGACTCTGACAGCCTGTCTGCCACTTGCCTCCACAGGCAGGCTTAGCGCAGCGATGTCAAGCAGAGGAGCAATTGCTCCTGATTTACTGACAGCAATTAACAAATTTATTCATTTTTATTCATTAACTAGTTTAGCTTGTGGAGCATATTTTGCACAAGAGCATAACTTGAAAATTGTGCTGCACACTCCTGTCCTCTGATTCATTTTGTTTGAAATCGGAAAAGCTGAGGTCAGGCCCCACTCTCACCCCCAGAGATCCAACGGCATTCCAGGGGCTTGTTCTCGTTCCAGCTCAGTTTAATAAATACTAGGGTTCACAGGAGCAGTTCAACTGCTTTTCCCAGTTTTTAGACTGCTTTTGATTTAAACAAACCCATAACTCCTGCTGTTGGGTGTCCCTGGTGTATTTCAGAGCATGCTAGATTCCTGACCACTGCTGTTTAGAAACTATAATTACTCTTTACAGTAAATCTTCTCATACTGCAAGTTGTTAAATCACTCTGCACATCATGCTCTCCCGCTGGAGCACTGCAGAGTGAGCTAGCAGTGACTGGCAGCCAGCCACACCCCTTCTCTGCTGCTGTCTGTGCTGGTTGCCGTGGCAACGTGATCTGACAGGAAACCTGAATCACCTGTGAGCAATGTGCAGCCAGTGCTTCAGGATATTTCAGACCTGCCCGACTCGGCACTCTGTAATAGAGTTTGACCTAAGCTTTGATTCCTTGCTCTGTTCCCTTCTGCTTTGTTTCATTTCTTCCTGGATACTCAATCCTAGCTGTAGCCCTGACTGTTTCTCTGGAGGTGCCCCCTTGTGATTTGGACCTGTGCATTCCCTCTGCTATGAACTGTGCCTGTTTGTCTTGATAACAATTCTGGAATTCCCTTTGAACTCAGCTTTGAGCCATGCTTCCGTCTATCCACAGTCCTGGACTGCGTTTCCTTTTGTCTTTCTTGTCCAACACATGGGCTCAGCTTATACCTCACAGCTGCTGTTTAGATCCACCTTGATCAGTGGAAATGAGCAAAGCTCCTCGATATGTTCGCTGGAAGTCTTCTGATGCACCAAGCACTTCAGTGATTATAGTGAACCAGCTTAATTATTAACTAGATGATTAACGAGCTGTTGCAGTAAAATTCTGTAGCAGCCTGTATTGAAAGGGCTGTGAGTTGAGCTGGCATTCCTGTTACTGTATATTAGAGGATGTGACCAGATGTGGCCACCACTAGTTGTAACAGATATTGCTTCTAGAGAAAAAACACCAGATGCAGTACATTCCTGAATGTAAGGGACTGTCCTACACTGACAGGCTGAAGGAGCTGAGTCTCTTTAGTCTTAAATAACACTACAAGGAGACCTGATACAAGTTATAAAAATCCTCAAAGACACTGAGAAAACTAACCCAGTGATTTTCTCCAAAATGAACAGTGGAACACAAACCAGAGGACACAAGGGAAATGAGGAAGCACACTTAAACCACTATTAGGAGGCACCTCTATACCCAAAGGGTGGTGGGAGTGTGGAACAAGCTGCCCAGCCTTCTTTTTGAAGCCAATAGTCTTGGTGTCTTTCAAGAAACAGCAGGATGAGATCCTGGGATCAGTTAACTACTAATGGCGAAACAGGTTTGATGTGCTGAATGGCTCCTTTTGTGTGGCACCATTATATTACTTACACGGTCCACATAATTTGGACTTGAAACCTGAAACACACCTGATGTCTGTAAGTTCTTTCAGGGGGGACCGAGCTGCCCCAAACCCCTCAATAATGATCCCACCATCTTCTCTCCCAGAGCAACTTGTCATGCGTGGGGAAGAGCACAGCACAGAGGCTTTGCAGCACAGATCTGCCACTGAGTCTGCAGAGAGACAGGTCTGTGCTGCTGCTTCAGCGGGTCGGCAGTGTTAAAGGATGGTGGAAGAGCTTGTTATCTCTGCATGCCGTCGTGTTTAACGTCCTTCAGAGTGAACGCAGAGCTGCGGGTGTTCGGCAAGCTGCAGCAGGGGTGAGTGCTCATGCCTTTGAGAGTCACGCAGTTCAGTGGGGTGTTCCTGCAGCTCTTTCTTCACAGCAAACATGCTCTGTGGAGTTACCCCAGGCTGTGGAATTACCCCACAGTGTCAGAGTGGGGACTGGGGCGGGTGGCAGTGAGCCCTGTGGAATTACCCCAGGCTGTGGAATTGCCCCACAGTGTCAGAGTGGGGACGGGCAGGTG